TTCACTGTCTTATTTACATTTCCCTCTCCAAAATGTTCACACAACAAGTGTACTGATAGCAAATGGTGGTCAGAAAAAAAAAACAGGTTTGGCACTGGGGGCACGAAACATATGTGCAACACACGAGTCAACAATAAAATAGTCAAGCTGAGTTATACAATCAGGTGTTACTCTCGTTGGTCCTTTAAATATAATGTTCAGGTTATTACATTCTAACAAATCCTGAAGCAGCTGACTTTCCCAGGATCTCTCAAGATTGTTTATATTTAAGTCAGCGCAAATAAGAAGCGGGATATTAAACTTATCTCTGAGGGTAGAAATCAACAAGTCAAAACGATCAATAAAATCAATCATATCAGCGCTGTTGGCAGTCCCAGGCCGATACAATACCACAACAATAATTTGGAACTTGTCTAGCTGCATTAGTCCCAAACAGAACTCAAATACACCTTTAGAACAAATGTCTTCGTCAATAGATAATGTCATCGGCTTAAATTTAAGCCTAGACTCAGTTTTAAGCAACAGAGCAACTCCACCCCCTACTCGGTTAGGTCTAGAATATTCAGAAATGGTTTTGTATCCATTTACTTTAAAACAATTCAGCCACGTTTCGGCAACACACAATACATCAGGGTTCTCATTATGTAACAAAACTTCAAGGTCTTCTATCTTGTTAAAAATAGACCTAATATTTAAGAACTCAAACCTAAAACTAATATCACAGTTTTTTTCCGCCCCAAGACAATGTGGGTTGGGGCTTACGTCCCGTTTTTTGGACCATCAGAAGTCTTTGAAGTAGGCCTAGGCCTATCATGTTGTTCAAGGTTAGGCCTAGTACTGGTCCTGTGACTATTAGTTCTAGGAGTCAAAAATTTACATATGAGTATTCCCTCAGGCCAGAGATTGCTATCCAACAGCTTGTCAATAGAGTCAGAAGGTACACCTACCTTAAAAGATGAGTAACCCTGGTACTTAGTGGGAAGTTGTTCACACTGGATTTGAGAGTGTTCAATAGGACACAAGTTCCTTATATACTCAACTAGGCTTTCAGGATTCACACATGGGTCAAATCTTGATAAAAACATCCAGGATTTCCTCTGTGCCACAACAAGAGGTCCAGTTTGTTTGGCTTTGCCAATTATAGCTCGGTTTCGTTGCACTTTAGATTGAGGACGAACTGGATTTGACTTCTCTCTATCACCGCGACTATTTACATTAATCCTTTCTTCCTAGTCACTTGATTCCAATTGCCATCAGCACCAGGAAACATGCATAACTGAGGCGATACCACAACACTGGTAGTGATATTGGAAGTGTTTTTACCACGTTTCAGTACCTCACTATAACATTCACTTCTAGAGGGGTTAGCAAAATTACTAATAACGTCAGCGTCATCGCCACCTGACACCACCCTAGAAGTATGATACATAGCCACAACACTACAAGTAAAAATAAGTTAGACCTTCAAAGATGTAGACTCTAAAAAACCATGAATGACCTAACCTACCTAGGTAGCTTACTGTATGTTCAATAAGCTGCCTGATGTCTGCCAAAACTAGCCTGTAGCTGTTTTCTGTAAAAAGCTCCAAAAATGGCTTTTGAGCAATCCTTTTTACAATTTTAGGTTAAGTAACAACAAAACTTTATTTATACATTTCAAACAATTCAACATATGACTATGATTTTCAATCAAATATAAATGTTTAAAAAATAAAATGAAAGCTCAATAGAGCAATGGGGGAATTGCGGCACCATCTTCAAATTGAATACTACGAATTTTTCGTCTAGTTCCCCGTAGCCTAAGCGAAACCGCTCGAATGATGGAAAGCTGGCTTTGGATCCTCAACCATCCGATAATTTGGGAGTATGGTTTTCTCCATTTTAAAGCCAGGGCTTCGCTTGTTCTCCTCTGAAACGCTTCATATTCTTTGTGGGGGACTCCTTCCGTGGAACATATTAATGGTGTGAAGCTTCCTCTGATGTCTTCGGCTGCTTTGTCATATTTATTGTGTTTCTGAACAGCATGGTTTCGAGATATTGTTCCCCATTCTTGGTTGGCGTAAGAGGGAGCGTCAGCATTAACAATGCGATTATCAAAAAACGCTACTCTCTCAGCCTCCCAAATACCATTAACTTTAAAATCAGCTTTTAAAGCAGGCACATTGTTTGCAGGGTCAGCTTCTCTCATAATAGGCTCGACTTCAACCCCTTTCCAGGCCATATTTGCTATCGCAGCACAGTGGTCTCGATGTTGATCATGCCCATGTTTGATCAATCCTCCTTTTTTACAATTTAAAGCATGGGTAAGATTCATAGGTTGATCACAACCATCACATCGTACTGGTAAATTTCTTAGTGTGCGGCCATAGCGAATTGACAAAGCATCTCTGAATTGATCCGGGGACAAATCCGTATGATCAGATGCACATGGTGTCACAGTTAACCATTGGCTAGTATTCCCTGCTACAATTCTAATTATTGGCTTCTTTTGAGTTTCAGGAAGTAATTCCATAATTTGTTCATTATTTGCTTTAGCCAACGTGTCTTTTTCTAGTTTTCTCTTCTTTTTTACATCTTGTAGTGTTGATACATGATCATTAATCTTTAATGGTTGTCCATTTTTAATGGCTAATATTAATTTTTCTGTGCATTGTTTTGATGTTTTAAATGAAATACCATCGTTCTTTGTCGGGTCCTGAATATTTAAGCCTCCAAAACGAGTAGGGAGAGAGAACAAGTCATGTTCAAGTTCAGAAATCTCTTGTTCGAAAAGGTTGGGAGTGAAATGGCGATGTATGGCAGTTTTTAAGTCTTCGTATTCTTCACTAAATCCCTCTGTTACTCTTTGGAGAAATGCCCATTCATTTTGTAATGACTTAGTAAAGGCAGTATACGCTGCTTGAGGACTTTTATGTGCAGCTATGCCAAATTTCTTTATACAATCAACCCATTTTTTTACCTTTTCTTTCACGAATTCCTTCTTTTCTTCTGAGCTACCAATAATACCCCCTAAAAACCTGTACGATGTTACAATTTTCACTTGTAGGTCTCTGAAAATTTCTTCTGCTTTTTCTTTATATTCAGGTTTTACTATCAATACACTTTTCTTGGGTTCTGGGTAATACCCCCATTTTGGCCCTTCAACACGTAAAGCATTAAACCATTCTCTAACTTTAAGTATTTCACCGAAACATGCAGAATCATCAGCGTACCAGTTTTGCTTCCAATTTAGGCTTTTTAGTTTTTTTACCAAAGGTAATATGCCAATTGCATACATTAGCATGCCTAAAGGGTCTCCTTGAGTGGTTCCTTCTTGACTAAGGATGATTTTATTGCTTCCTCTAAACATAATGGTTGCATAGCCTTGGTATGTATTGAATAGGAAACGAGCGCAACGAGGCCAAAGCACCCTAGCATTCCACAGAGTTAAAGGCCTGCTCAAGGCGTTGAACGCATTTGAAGCATCTACAAGTAAAATACAATTTTGGTTATTTTCATTGAATAGGTCCGTCATAGCATGTATAGCACCTTCTATTCCAGCTTTCGTTCCGGCGCAGAGTTGGTCAGATCCACATATTTCTTGAACATCGTCACCTGTTACAAAAGCCATGGTTTTTGCACATAGTCTCTGCAAAACTTCTCCAACTCCTATTGGGCGAATACCAGGGTATTTGTTCAGTGCTAATCCTCTTCTAGCTAACAGAGCTCTGATCGAGTTCCAGTTTACTATCCCGTTTGCCATCCATCGAGTTAACGATGCAACTGCTTCCCTTAAACGAGTGCTATGTGCTCCATAGCGCAGCAACATATTCTTCCATTGATCAGCATTTGTTCCGCTAGGGCCAGCACTTCCATGCAAACGTCTAGCCATCTTCTCTATGTGGTCACTGGATATATCTACATCTACCATCAATGGTAAGTTCTCATCAGCTAGAAATGTATTGTCATTCGGAACCATTTGACGTGGATGCTTATTTTTTAAAACTTGAAAAACATTTTGACCATCAGGAAGGATATCATCAGGTGTGAGTACTCCATCGCCGGAGCGATCTGTGAGCCATCTTGTAGCTTCACGCAATTTTCCTTGTAATACCAATCTTGTGAAGATTCTTATTTTCTGGTCTTCTTCTTGGTGTTCTTGTGATGTTTTCATTTGCCGATCACATCTCTCAGCTTCACGTATTAATTCATCAAATTGATCATTTTCCCACATTTCCATTCTTTTCTTCATCAAACGTCTTATGTCAGACCCATTTTTTATCATTTTATCTTTTTGAAGAATGGTAGCACATAAGAAAAATATTCTTTCGGTTGAATTTATACCATTAGGGACTGCTTGGATCTCTTTGGCTAGAACATCTACAAATTGCCTTCCAATTGAACCTTGTGGTATTGTATATTGTCTTCCTTTTAATTTCATTGCACAAAGCCACCGTTTGTGCCATTCATTGTTTTCTTGAGAACTTACAGAGTTAAGAAGTGGAACTCCGAATCCTCTGGTAAATAACTTGTTCATAAAATTGTCTTTATAGTATGATACATAGCCACAACACTACAAGTAAAAATAAGTTAGACCTTCAAATTTATACAATATACAATACCACAAGGTTCAATTGGAAGGCAATTTGTAGATGTTCTAGCCAAAGAGATCCAAGCAGTCCCTAATGGTATAAATTTGTTCCAACTTTTACAATTTTAGAGAATATTTTGATACTAGCCCACTTGAAACTGATTTTATGTAACTTTTAAGCTAAATGCTGTATATAATATTGTAAATGTCCTTTCTATGGAGGCCTACATGTCATATCTGTTGTCCTAACAATTGTGCTTAGCCTATAGGTATTTCCAACTTATCAATGTTATTTTTTATGATGATGTCCATTGCAAATTTGCAATTTGTTGAAAGACTGAGTAAATGCCTAAAAGTTAGTTTGTTACAAATCTTTCCTCATACGTGTACTGGTTTTCTGTTGTTATGAGTTGGATTCTTTCAATTTTAGAGTTCTTCTGCAATTTGACACAAGGGAGTTCCTGAATGCCCTTGCTATTGCTTTTGAAGATCCACAGTTCTCCTCACAGCTGCGGCAACGACTAGTCAACATCCTCATACAGGTCATGGTAGAAGGCGACGGTTTTGCGGTGAGCTGATAACTTAATTTGTGTGTAATCTTTGGGGTACATAATAAATAAATAATTCAGCAATTCAATTTGACACATGTAAATCTTAACAAAACTTACCTATTAAAACAGTACCTAACAAAATCTTTTAAAAGAATAAAATAGAATTTTAGATCTTGAATAGTTAAGCTTCATAATACAAAATAAAGCTGATACCGAGAATTAAAAATGTCGGTTTTGATTTATCGGTTGTTGCACAATAATTTTGCCTCAATAGTGTGACATGACATCTTTACAATTCGGGGGGAACTTCCAAGATCTTGCTGCCATTGCGTAACAAGATGATGATGTCTTCGTGTGTGGACACTAACGTGTTGTGACACATCCTGTGGCCCATGGATAGGATGATACTCATTTTGTTCTTGTTCCTTGTCTAGTCAACACAGGTGGGGTGGCTGTTCACATTTCTAGCGTCACAATTGTCACGGTCACACTGTGTACTGCGTGTGGACACCAAGCTGTTTGAACGTGTTGTGTCACATCTAGTGGCCCCTGGACAGGATGAAACTCATCATGAGCGACAGAATGCCTTCTCCCAACTCATGGCTGCGGGAGGTCTAGCTCACTACACACACCAAGACCTGCTGGCACTTGCAAGATCAGCTGAGTTGTAATTAACTTTTCATTTGTAAAGTAATACATAAGTAAACACATGAAAATTACATAACTGTAAATTACTTGATTGTATGTATCTTAAGCAGATGCATTTTTAAAACATGGTTTGGTCAAATTAAATTTGTTTACTTCCACTTTATCCATTATAATGTGTTTTTAAATTTTATCGTATCTATATATTAATAGTCAAGCATGTTTCTTTAACCCTAGCAGTGGCCAACGAGCGTAATACGCTCGTTCGCCGTGACACCTTAGAATGGCCTCAAGCGTAATACGCTAGTATGGGCCGAAATTGTTTCAACGGCAAAAAAAACCGCAAGACTAAACAACGTAAAAGGAGTATTAGCATTGTTTAAATGGAGAAAAGTGGTCATGCATTTGGAAAAGAAGACATTTCTCTGTTATTATTTATCAATTCTTAACAAATAAGGTATCATTGAAAACTACATAAAATTTACTAGCTTTTTTGTCTCTTGCAACTTTTTCGTTAAGTTAACGGTTTTCGTGAAATTTGACATCAAATATTTAAAATGGCTGCCATTTTGAACCATGTAATGATTTTTTAGAATAATTTCAAACAAAGATAAACCGTAATAAGATTAACATTTCTGCAAAATCTCGGAGCTGTATCTCAAACCGTTTAGGAGTTATTAATGTTTTTGTAAAAAACACATAAATGCCGACAGTCGGTAAACTAGACACCACAGACCCATGTTCCTATGGTGAAATGTGTTTGTCTTGACCTAAGCAATAACGCTATATATACATGTGTCCAGAGAGTTACGGGACACCCTGTATATCATTATTAGTATACACATATATTATATAACTTTTACAACACAAACTGAAACTAACACTGTACGGTTTTCAATTTTTTCGGTTCTCTGTTTGTTATTATATTTCGCCCCAAAAACTTATTAAAAAAAAATATTCTCCTAACATGTTATATATTTGTATGTAGGGAATTAAACTGTCTACAAAATGTATATAATGAATTTCCCATACAAAATCTGTAGAAAAAATTTTACCGAGGCTGCTTTTGAAATTTCAAAAGGAAAAATTCTATTATTCAAATATTGAATCTTCTTGCAAAATTAAAGTTGATCATTATAATAATAAAAAATAATGTAGTTCCTTTGACTGGGATACACATGATAAACTGTTGGGATATAATGATGATTTACGATTCGGAAAATGTTGTGCGATAGGCCAAGGAAGCAAGTTTCGAGTTTGGTTTATAAAATGTAGTAGCCTAAATACTGAATGTTTTCTAATAAATCAGACAATGACATACTAAATTAATTTATTTGATCTTAAATGACATTTCTTTCGTAAGTAATACAACACTAGTGGCTTGTAGGGACATAAGTCCCTTAAAAGTTCAAGCGTAAAACTGATCATTGTAATATTTAAACAAACTCAGATTCAAATAATCTTTGTGTCAGGATAGATATTACAGTACAACACATCTTTTTTGTAAAAAAAAACTGTTGTTTGTCTTTGTTGCTTTTGTTGATGTTAATTTTCAATCAATAATTTTAATGCCTCCACATGAACTCTGCTAGAAACAGCAAACATGTTTGTGAATGAATATTGGTTTACTAAGGTAGCTTTGGTCTTTTGGTTGGTGATGATAAAAAGGCTTCCCTGATTAAAATATTGGAAATTGTCCCCGTCAAATATGAAAAGGTAAATAAAGGTGCGTTGAGATAAGCTTAGTTCTTGGTCAAACCCAAAATATAAATGTTAATGTTAGTAAATTTACAAAAAAAATGTAGAATAAATCTTTAACATATGTTTTGAAATCAAAACAAAGCAGATTTTTTCCATTTAATCTTGAATAGTTTATTATTCAGTCAAAGTGATTATTTCATGTTAAACATTCCTTCAACACATCAATAACCTTAAAAATAGAAGAAAAAACTTCATTATTTTTTCAGACGTTTTAAGTTCAATTCCTTTGATTTGAGCCATCTCCTATGATTCTACTACTTATCATACGTGTAACTATTTTACTTAAAAATTCCCATTTTTGCAATTTGCACAGTAGGCCTAAAAAAACAATTAATTTCAACTTGCTGAAGACGAAACTAAAAAGTCTTCCCTGGTTTTATATAGTTTGCAGTACATTGCAGAATTGACTGGCAAATAAGTAATCCAAAAATATTGCTTACTGGCTTAATGATAAATCACGATCAGGTGTATTGAAGTAAACAAAAATCAGCAGTAGGCCTAAATGGCTTCTAATGCTATTCTTATGGAGAACATTTTACGTTATATCTAATTTTGTGTTAAAATTTGGGGATTTCCACTACTTTTCCCGCCGTCATGGGGTCGAGACCTTTAATTTGAGCCCTCTCCCGTCATTCTACGACTTCCCAGTCACCCACAATTTTGACGCAAAGAATCGGCTTACATAAATATATAGATTGTCCCTAATTGACAACATGCCAGTTTGTTTGTATTGATTTGACTTAAAAAATTTACATGCTTACATTGAACACATGATCGCACCATCGATGTATATAACCTAGCTCCATCGATTTTAGGTTATACTTATGCACTCACTACAGCCTACAGCCAAAAAGGTTCATCCGCAAAGATATTCCACCACACATCAAACGCTTCTAGCTAAAAAATCCAACTGTACATATTTATGGTCGAGTTTTCGACCACTGGACAACCTCTAGTTTATTTAATTAGTTGATTTAACCCTTTCAGTGCTATGCGACGATATATCTTTGTGCGTCTTTTTCCCGCAAAGTGCTATGGAACGATATATCGTTGTTTGCATTTCATCCTAAAAGCGCTAAGCGACGATATATCGTGCCGGTGCGACTTTCAATCATGTGAGTTTAAATGAGCATATCGGTTGACTCAGTTGTAGTTTCGAAACAGCAATGGTTTTTTTTTTATTCCTCATACGTTCGAGGCCCGATATATCGTTCCTTAGCACTTTTGAGATGAAAAATTTTATTTTTCCCAATTTTTTTTCTCGCACACTAGACTTTGCCCTCGTGGCAAGTCTAGCACTTTTCGGACAAAATAAGTAAATAACTGTAGCACTTTTTGGAAAATTAGAAAATAATAGGGAAAGTAGTTGACCGATTAGAATCTAGTTGAAATTATAAATTACAAGTTGTAAATTTTCACTGGTAAAATTAGTAAATGTGCGGTGTTATTACCTTTGGTTGTCACTTGGTGGATCTTCTTGGTGTCACTCGGTTGGTAGTTGTCGCTTCGTCTTTCTTCCGCTTAACTTTTGATTGTAAATTAAATTATACTGATAAGAAAAAAAAAAACATCAGGAAAACAACGATACAAAAAATCTCCAAACAATAATTTCAAAATTGGCATCCGCTGCGCTGTCTCAGATCAGGTACCTAATGTTAGTACTTATAACCTAGCTGTTCTGAATAGTATTCAGTTTTAATTGACTACTCAACTCCTGTATGTAGGACGGGCCAACAGCTCGTAATTTATAAAAGCAGTCACAGGTTTGAACCTTACTTACTTTTGTATAGTTTTGAAATATGACAATTTAAACATATACCGATAGATATTTGTATGAATTACATGTAGCTACCAGGTGTGTGCCACACTACATGAGCGGAGAGGAGAACACAGTCAAGTACTGAAGTGTTACCTGCTGGACAATGACAGGAGATATCAGGTCTTCAACTACATCGAGCAGTCCTCACACAAGGATCAACTACAGCCTGCGGTGCTGGACAATATTGATGTGAGTCACAAGATGATCAACTGATGTGTATTTAAGTAGCTTATTGATGGTATGAAACTGAACCCAGCTACACAAGGCATCTCACTTTATTCTACTCTCATCCCTTACTCAATTGGGTTAAACAACACCTAGGTTACCCCATCATAATTATTGGTAACTAGCAGAGTACCCGTTCTTCGTACGGGATTGGCATATAAGTATAAAATGCTTATTGCAGTTATACTCAAGCTTTTTGTTTGCAATGGGGGAGGACACGATTTCATAAAATTTGCTTCTTTAAATTTACGGTATACTATAGTATTACACATCTACCATGACCATAGTATTCTACCACGTCACTTAAACAATAGAGAAAAAAAAATTATTAAAGATTCGTAAAATATCACAAATGATTCAAGAAATTAAAAACATAAAATAACTGTAAACAATCCTTCTTTGACAGTTCTCATTGCATATCATAGTTTTTTGTTGTTGCCTAGTTCAAATTAGCTGTTTCCTTTAATGCAAAAATAGTAATAGTGCTGCACCCTGTTGGCAAATCTTATAACTTTTAATGCTTTTGCATGCCATGGAACCAACTTTTAAGTTGAAACAGCTGACTAAATTCTTTTAATCCCTCTAAATATGAATACTCATAAGGTTAACATGGGGAACCACGGAGCCACTGGGGCGGAGCCCGAAAGGATTTTTGAGATAACAATATGCCTATATGGGAATGTGAGTAATCTATCCAGTAGCTAATGCATGATTGAACTTCAAACAAACAAACAAACACACAAACTTTCACATCTATTCTATTGTAACCCACTTCCGGGTGTGTTTCGTTAATTTATCGGGTCGGGGCGTTACGCGTCCCTGATAGCCTAGCCGAGCTGGGTTATTCCGGGGGTCAATTTTGGTCGGGTTTCCCGCTTTTGTATCCTAAAGTCGTTTTCCTGGCTCAGGCGGGAATATTTTGCCTCTTGGCTTTATTCGTGCCTCATCATTGCCAGGAAACGAGTGAATAAAAGAGGGAGGGCGAGATTTTGTTTCGAAGTTATAGCTTCGTGCGCGACTCTGTTCACAACCTCCTCGGTGGAGTGTTAATTATTTATTTAATTTAATACCCTACGTCCATGCGCCACGGACCGAGCAGAATTAGTTTAGATGCGTCTTTATTATTTAAAATAATAAAATGCGTTTCGGGCGAGTGGACTAGTTCAAAGCCCCGTGAGAGAGTAGGAATATGGAAAGGTGCAAACGAACATACAGAGTAGGGCGGAGAAGGGTCGTTATAGAAAGAGTAACATACGAGACACACACACAGACAGGTTGAGCACACAAAGACTTATTTCAAATAGATTAAGCCTAACTAAAAACTAACTTATTCCCAGATTTTCCGGGATAGCTTAGGTCTAACTTATAAATAACTTATTTCCGGTGTGCCCGAAGTAATTAAAGCTAACTTATAAATAACTTATTTCCGGGTTTTCCGGAATAGATTAAAGCTAGCTAATGACTAACTTATTTCCGGGTTTTCCGGAATAGGTTAAAGCTAACTTATAACTAACTTATTTCCGGTGTGCCCGAAGTAATAGAGAAAGAAGAAAAGCTACTTAGCAAACTACAGCTAACCAAAGCAGTTAGCTGCACACACAACACATACGATACAACACACAGATCACTCAATTAGCAACAGTCCAGGAATCAAGGAAATGGTGAAGAGTGGAAATAGAAGTTGGGGCTTAACTGTCTAACGTCACGGTGAATTAAAATTCCCAAAGCCAATACGAATCCCCAAAGCCTTAGTTAAGCGTTAATAGTCAAAGGTTAAGCAAAGGTTAAGCGTTATGCTAAGATTTGAAGCAATTTCTAAGGTTAGTGTGTTAGTAGCGGTGTCGTATCATAAGTTAGAATATTTAAATGCATATGGTTCAACACATCAATAATTAGTGGAAGGCTAAATGAATAATTAATAATGAAGTGTTAAATATAGTAAAGAATAGTAAAGCAACTACCTAGAACATTAACAGTTAATAGCGGCTAAGCAACGACATAGAACATAACTACTGTGCACTGGTTCTAGTATAAAAGATAATGAATAGCTACAATGGTTAGTACAGTTCTGAAAGATGTACAAACAAATTAAAGCGTGTTAGTTAGTAAAGAAGCCAACAAAGTATTAAAATCACTCTAATAAATCCACTATTAATTAACTCTTATTCCCATAGATAAAATACCTCACAGCTGAAGTGCTGCTACAGTAATTACGAACAACATTGACTACAAACTAAACACCACACATTATATTTAGGTACCGGTAACACCGTGTTCTCACGGACCTACGCGATAAACAAAGCAAACAAAAAAAAACACACGAATATGAAACGCCACCTTGCGTGACCGAAACCGATCGAACTTGAATAGATTTAAACAATACAAATAAAACAACACAATTAAAACAGAAAGGAATTATAACCGGGCGGATCTCGTTCTGACCGTTACTTCTTTGAACTCACGGTCTATAAATTATGTATTGAACGAAATTAAGATATTCCAAAAATCAAAGCTGATCGTTATATATTTACAGAGTTATTTTAACAAAACAGATAACACTCTATGTTATAGTAAAACGATAAAGATATTCACCGGTTTAAATAAATCGATCTCTGTTAATAATTCTATTAAATTTAAGACGAAACTTCCCGCGGACGTTTGACTTAAATAGCGTAATTAATTAACAGGAAATAAACGATAGCGAGTGAGGTCGAGTTATCCTAGGCGCCCTAGGATATTAACAACGGCGAATGGCGAATGTCGTCCACTTACTTGGCGTGAGCGAGAGTGTAGGATCGGGCGTCCGTCTTCTGCCTAATTGCTCAGGCCACTGCTCCTGCTTCCTGCTGACTGTCGACTCTCGCCGACCCCGACTCACTCTGTCTCTGCGAGCGCCGCGCACATCCAGCGCTGTGGCTGGGGTTCCTGCGCAGGCGCGGGCGACTGATGCGCGGCCCGGTGGGACGGCGGTGAACCACAAGATCAGCTGTTGCTGAACTTGTGTCATATGCTAATTTGTTTTGTTTACATTTTGGAACTTAACTTCGGCGAATTGGCGAGGCGATTCTGCTAGTAAGGGTTTAGTTTTATTATAAATATTCACGAATTTTATGAACCCTTACACTCCCTCCCCACTTCGGACAAAGTAAAAAGAAAATGGCCAAAAAGAAAAAAATATGTTTTCTTTGGCTTCGAGAATGTTCAGCGGTATAGGTACTTATATGCAAGCTGCTGCTGGTGTGAGAAAAGTGTAAGGTGAGGTGCTTTATGTGTCGTGAAAAAGCTTCAAATCCTTTACATGGACATGCCCCGTGGGCTTCCCCCTTTCGTCTGTTAACATGAAGATGTTGACGCCAACTTTGTCTGATATCAAGAATGGACCCTCATATTTCGCGGCTAGCTTACCCGCAACAGCGTCTACTGCGGACGAAAGCACGTGATTTCTTTTTAAAACCCTCTGGCCTACTCTGAACGGATTGTCACGGCGGCGGAGGTTGTAGTATCGAGCTTGGTTCTGGTACGCTTTCTCCAGATTCTCCTTTACCTTCCCTATTAGCGCGTGCATACGAGCATTTCGCTCCAGTATGACCTCTTCAAGTGGGGGTTCGATTGGATCGTTGCTGCCTTGCAGAGTATCCCGATAAAGTGCCCGCGGCATCTTTATTTCTCTGTTCAGATTCAGCATTGCGGGAGAGTATTTAGTGGAGTCGTGGATCGCCGAATTCATAGCAAAACGGAATTCGGGGAGCTTCTCGTCCCAAGCGCGATGGTCGTCTTTCACGAACTGCGATATCATCGTTTTTAAGACTCGGTTTGCTCGTTCTGTCAGGTTTTCCTGAGGCGAGTACGGTGCTGTGAACTGAAGGCGAATGCTCCATTCTTTTGCTAAATCGCGAATAAGGTTGGAGGTGAATTGCGTCCCATTGTCACAGATGATCACATCTGGTGCCCCATACCGAAATAACACCAGTTCTCGGAAATGAGTTACTACTTGTTTAGCGGTTGCTGATCTCAGTGGTGCGACTTCTACCCATTTTGAGAAGTTATCCTGAATAACTAGGGCGAAATTGTTTCCTTTTTTCGAGCGTGGCAACGGACCGATCAGGTCAAGGGTTACCGTGACCCAAGGAGCCTGAGGTCGTCGAAAATACATTTTCCCTGCAGGTTTGCGATGTTCTACCTTATACTTTTGACAGGACAAACACTTCCGGACATGTGACTTGACGCTTGATTGCCAACCAGGCCAGTAGTACCTTGCGGCTACCCGTGCCAAGGTTTTCCTAATACCAAGATGGCCTGCTTCAGGGCCACCTGTGGTAGGGTCGTAATTATTGTTACGATTCCGGTTGATAATTGAGGTTAGGATTGCCAAACAAAGAAAGTTAGGAACCAATTTTATATTAAACTATTTTTGTTGATCTGAGATAACTTGTTTTATGTCAATTATTTTGTGAATTATTATCAAAGTTGCGCCATAATGAGACAACTATCCGATGAAAGGACAAGGGCAGTTTTCGAGAAGCTATCAAAATATATTGGAGCAAATGTGAAAATCTTAATCGATCGGCCAGATGGAGCTTACTGTTTTAGGGAGAGGAAAGATAGAGTGTACTACCTTTCAGAAAAATTGGCATCCTTGGCTAGCAATGTTGGCCCGGATAATCTCTTGAGTGCTGGTACTTGTTTTGGAAAGTTCACAAAATCTAACAAGTTTATGTTACACATAACAGCATTAAGCTACCTTGCCCCATACGCACAGCACAAAATCTGGGTGAAACCGTCTGCAGAACAGCAGTTCTTGTATGGTAACAGTGTGACCAAGGCAGGCTTGGGGCGTATAACTGAGAACACACAGAGATATGATGGTGTTATTGTGTATTCAATGAGTGACATTTCTCTGGGTTGATCTTGAGGCCCGCACTACGTAGCCGTTTGAAGACCTCTGCGAGAAGATCTAAATGTTC